CGCCCCCGTCATAGAGGGGCTCCCCCAGCCACACCTCGGACATGAGAGCCTGCAAGCTTGAAATCTGTGGCTTGCCATTGACTGTCTCGTGGACAGAGCCAGGCACACTGGGAATGGAGGAGGAAGCAGGGTCTGCAGCAACATCTGGAGCCAAGCCTGGTGTGGCAGGAGTAGGCAGGGCTGTAACATAACCCTCATCTGGTGTCCTCAGCCCAGCGCCTGACCCCACAGAGGGGATGGTGAGGACATTTGGAGGGACAAAGAACTGAGTTTTTTCAATAAACATCACCTCAGCCTTATCAAAGTCAAACTTGTTGACCCATACATCCTGAACAACATGGTGACAGGCAGACAGGTTACCATGGTAGCAGGGCAGGGCTGCTGAAAGCATCTTTGGCTTGGGAACATCTTGGACAGCTTTTGCCCTGACCACTAAAGGGGACTGCTCAGCAGTTAGTGGAGTCTCAGGTGCCTCTTCCTCATTCTGACAATCCACTAATTTCTGCCTGTACAGGTTCTCAGCTTGATCATAGAAAGGCTTCTCAAACCACACACAGTCAGCTGACAAACCAGCCAGCACAGAGTCTAACTTAGAGGCCACGTTTCTGGGTTTGGGAGAACGTTTCCGTTTCCTCTGTTTCTTCCCATTCCTCGTTTTCTTCAGGTCTCCCTTGACTTCACTTTCAGCAGAGTCATCATTGCAGACTCCATTTACAGCCTCTACCTCCTGGCACTCCTCAGGGGCAGCAGCAGCCAGGGTGGCTTCTCTTTCATAATGAAGTCTCTCTGCTTCATCATATTTGTGCTTCTCCACCCACACTTTTTCTACTGGGCACGGAGGTTTCCTGGTCCTCATCTTCCAAAAAGTGGCAGCATTAAAAGATAAGCACAACAATGGAGTTGCAGCCAAACCACACAAAGCAAGGGCATGCATCAGGCTTTCAGTTCTTTCTCAAGTCACACAAGAGCATTAAAAGTGATCATCTCAGCATTATTATTCATGCCAAAGAGCATTCAGGTCGATATTTCCTTTGTTACCAATTTTAATTTGAAAGAAACCAACCCAACACCCGAGGCTTTCAAAGAGATTAAACAACACATCCAGTTCCCAAAGTCAAAACAACACTCCTAAAATACTTTTGATCTCAAGAATTCTGCACATTACTTATTTAAAAATAAAGGCACTGGCTGAAAGGACTTCAAAATTCATTTTTCAAGGACTGAAAGGACTTCAAAATTCATTTTTTAAGACAAACTGGGAGGAAAAGATAAGATTTTTTTCAAAACTCTGGTCATATAAAGGTATTTTTTTCCCAAGTTCAATTCCCTGAATTACTTGTCAATATTCTCAACTAGGCACTGATTTGGGAAGGCAGGCTGGAAAAAAAAAGATGCCCCAATTCTTGATTGTGTTTAGAAGTCATTGCTGACCCCTATTTCTGTGCAGAGGGAGTTGACATAAAAACTAGGACTCCTTTTTGATTTAAAACCCCGTGTTGGCAAATTTCTACTTGGCCAGGAGCTGGAGATCTCATGACCCACTTAGTTTACCAAAAAAATTAATCTATTGAAATGAAAAATTTGCATCTGTTTTGTTTTTCCTGCCCTTGTCATACTTTAAAAAAGGAAAAAAATATCATTAAGGAGCTCCTGGTATGTGTAGATTATTGGAAAAGCTAGAAAAAATATCTTTCCAAGTATAAAAACTGTTCAAACCATTCCTGGAAGGTTTTTACAAGCCTCAAGGCCAGGGCTGACAGACCAAAAAACTCTGATTACAAGTGAACATTTTGCCTTTTAAACTGTCAATTTTTTTAATGGTTTAAAATACTAAAGCAAGTCCATACTTTATATTTAAAGTATTTTAAAAAATCACTGTGATATGCAAAAGTAGATTTTTGCCTCTCCTTGGACTTGTGAAACTCAGCCAGCTGCTGAAAAGACTACGATAAAGGTGAAAAAATATCTAAATTGAAAGAAAAAAGGGACAACTTGGGGGACGGGGGGGGAGGGACAATTCTAAGGGGGCAACCTGAAGAAGAGGCCAGGTCTGCTAGAGGGAAATTTGCATTTCCATGGTTGGGGAGACTGGAAAACGAGGAAATGATGCCAATGAAGATTTGCCTGACATGTGCTCTGCTTGGCAGAGCACACATTCCACAACAGCAGCCACCCAGAGCTAGGGGAGCAAACTTGTCAGCCTAAAAAATCCACAGGGAAAGCAAAACGCCGACCTGGAGCTGCACAGGGAGGACAAAAAAGTTGGGATTTCATGGTTTTATTCAGGTGAAGAGCTCCTGAAAACATCAGATTGCTGTGTTTGCCTGACATGTGCTCTGCTTGGCTTTGCATTCCTGTGGATTTGAGTTATTTTGAGGAAAAAATAAATACATCATAGTTTACAGCCCACAAGGAGATGCTGTATTAGGGATATTTCACTACCCCAATGCAGGTGGTGTTACACTCTGAGGGTATAAATTAAACTTCAGGAAGAACCTCCAGAGGGTGTAACAAGAAACCCAGATGTGACTCAACGCAGCTCAAACTCTAACACCTTTAAATATTTAATTTAATTACAGCTGCTAACTTTCCATATAGAAAGAGCACGACCATTTGACAAAAAAAAACATACAACCCACAAACATAACATTTGGGGCTTAATTTCTTATTTTTTTTTTAATTATAGGTGATTTTGCTCAAGTCCTTCAGCAAAGAGCTTCAAGCAGTGGAGCTGCAACCCCCCCAGGTCACCCATCTCAAGGATGAGCTTTGTTGAGGACCCTAGTGACCAGGAGGTTCCCTTAAATCAAAGAACTGTCTTGAATCCAAGTCAGACAGGGAGGAATTTCATAAATTAACCTCTGAAAGTTCAGTTTTTTCCAGTGGAAATCAGAAAGCTGGCAGCCATCTGCCTAGCAAGAAGGATCAGGTCAGTGCCTGCATTCCCTTGATTTTCCAGAAAACCCCCCAAAAAACACAAAGTACTTACTTTTTTAACTCCTATGATAGCATTAAGAAAAAAGATAGAAGTTAAAAGTTACGAGTTGTAGAGACGCAGCAATTAACCAGCAAGGACACAGAATGACAATAGCCAAAAGTATCACCATTAATTCCCCTCATTAGCAATACTTCTAATTACATTTACAGGTGGTTAACTCTCCAGAACTATGTTCTCTTTATCAACCAACACCACAGATGTTGAGTTACTTGTAGTTGTCAGTAGAAAGCAATAAAAATATAAATATCCAAAAGGATTTAGCTTGGAATCAGGCTCCCAGTCATGTCAACTGGTGCAAAAGTAAAGCTCAGGTGCCCCAGTTTCAAGTAAATAAGCACCAAATAATCTTAAGAATTAATTATAACATCAAATAATCAAGTCACATGACTGTAGCTATTTCTATTATCTATAGATAATATAGAATTA